ACGGCAAACAGTGGGCAGCGCTACGTGAGCCGCATCGCGACGCCACGCCGGCATGCTAACGAGGACGGGGGACGCGGGAGTGACGAATTCGCCGATCAGCCCTCGGCCTACTTGGATTCCGAACAGTGCTTTCGTCGCTCGGCCTTCCTCGGCTCCCTCACTCGCATAGAGGACTTCGGCCTAAAGAAGAAGAGGAGGAATACTGAATGAATGTCGGAGCGGCAGCCCATAACAAACCCTCACTTGTTTTTACCCCCTTCTACCCCAAAGCAGCCGACGGCCGCGGCCACATCGGGTTGGGGGGTGGGGGGCGTTAAAACAAGTGAGGGTTTGTTATGGGCTGTCGCTGCGACATCCGGTATTCCTCCTCTTCTTCTTTAGGCCGAAGTCCTCTATGGGGCGTTGCGCGGGGAGCAGCCCGATGGGCGAAAGGGTCGCCTCCCGATGCAGTCTGCACGTCTGCACCGCTGGTGGCGATAGCCCTTGCTTGCTGCTTGCCGACGCAAGAAATACGAAATCGTGCCGAGTGCGGACTTGGCGTTCGAGATCGTCCTGCTGGCCGGAGAACCAGCGGCGGTCCGGACACCAGCCTTAACTCACAGCGGGGAGTATCGGCGGCAGGCGGCTGCGCGCAACCGGCGCAGCGTAGTGCCGCCCGGCCCTGGCGTGGAGTAGCGCCACAGTCTCTGGCTGCCGGAGTAGCGCCACGCGCCCACGAGCGGGACGGCCCGGCACCTCTGCATGGACACCCATTGTAAATGCGAGTTAACGAGAATGCACCTCTACGGGTGTTAACCACACCCAGAAAAAAGGTGTCTTGAATCAAGTCGGGCTGGCCTTGAAACAAGGCTAACTGGACCTTCATTGCTTCAAGCCCAGAAAAGACTTGAATTAAGTCAGATATTGCCTTGTTTCGTCTTGTCGTGGGTCAAGTCATTTCGGACTTAAAACAAGTCCACGAGAAGCCTGAAACAAGTCATTTTTGTTGTTGTTTTAGGCATGGTGGAGCCTTGATAGCGACTTAGTGTTTAAGATTTTTTAGACTTGAAATTTCTCACATCTGTTCTTAGTCTATCATGGCCTTGTTCCGTTAGGGCTTGTTTCAAGAAATTTGACTTGAAGCCGCCAAGGCTATGGTTGACTTGTATATAGAGCCAGCGGTGAAATACGCGTCTGGGATTAACTCCAGCCGTTAAGCCCTTAAATACCATCACCCGCAAGATCTTGTCCACACAGTAATTGAAATGGCAGACTCTGTGACGATTCCTTACAGAAAACGACAGGAAATTGGCTGAATTAGATGGTCACCACAGAAACGACTTTGGCGCCTTGTCACCGCCCGACGTGGTTCCGCCAGCTGCCGCAAGAGCGCGCTGCGCGCGTTGTGCTGCCGTCCGCTCGCGGGGCCAGCCCCGGTCGCCAGTTAGGCTAGTTCGGAAGCAGGCCCCAAACCCTTCTCGCTTGAGTTAATATGCAACATTATGGGCAAGCCTCTAAGAGGGGGCAGGACTTTTACTGAACTTGATTCAAGAAACCATTTTTCTGGGTGCACTGAAACGTTTAAAACAAAAAAAAAAGCGGAATCATATCTACGCCACCCTCCATGAAATTTTGTCAAAGATAAAAAATTAACCCTACGATGCCTCCCTCCATTATAGCCGATTTCACCAGATGTGGCAGCAGTGAAACAAAAGACAGTCGGTCCACAACAAACAGACGACAAGCGCGCACAAATGAACGTTAAAGAGGCCATTTTGTGGCACGTTTGTCGTCTGTTGTGGACCCACTGTCTTTTGTTTCACGGTTGTTCCGAATGGCTGAGAGTACGACACAGCCCAACGAGTTCCTGCGCGTGAGCTCGAGCACTGGTCTGTGGTAGGCAAAGTCTCTGGTTCGAATCCGATCCTCGTTAGTGTTTACCAAAGCCCAAAATTATTTTTAAGGGAGTTTTTGTCATCATTATTTTTACTCTTCTTTAACTGGAACTCCGTTTACGGTAGCTCCAGTGCTCTGCTTCTGAGAATACTGAAAATGCCTCTCTCATTTCAGCACGCCTCCTTGGCGCGGGCGCAGAGCTCCGTGCGTTTCGGGGCGATGCCGCCGTCCGCCAGTTCGATGGCGACGGGAGCCGCCACCGACTTGTTCCACCGGCGGAGTGCCACCCCTTCGGCCACCCCTTCGGCCACCCCTTCGGCCACCCCTTCGGCCACCCCTTCGGCCACGCCGCCCTGCGCCAAGGCAGTCCTCCCGGCGGCCTCTTCCGCCAACAGCATGACCTCGACGGCCCCCTCGGCGTCGACGGCCCCCACGGCCTCCACGGCCTTCACGGCGGCCTCCTCGCCCAGGGCGAGCACGGCGCTCTCCGCTTCGACCAGAGCCCCGTCGACTCCGGCAGCCTCCTCGTCGGCCGCGACGGCCCTCACGGACCGGGCCGGGTCGCCGACCGTGGAGTCGGCCGCGAGCGGGGCGACCCTGCCGACGGCCGCGGTGTCCGGGACTGCGACGAGCAAGCCGTCGTCGTCCTTCCGGTCGTACAGCTCGTCCTGCCTCGGCACCGTGTCCGTGGATTTTGTGTGCCTGGACCACGAAGCGCCCTCCCCCGTAAGCGCGATCGACGACTTAGTGCGCGTCGAGAACACGTCGAGAACACGTCAAGCAGCGCAACATGCTAATGCAGCTGGTTGTGGCCGAGTCGCTAAGCCAGTGACGCGCGTCTGTACGCAAATAAGGCACTGAATATTGAATAATCTGAGTTCCCGCGAAAAGGGCTGGGAGTTCCGAGAAACTCACTTCAGGCCACCGTTTCCCCCAGGCCTCTATACACTGACCAGAAAACGAAGAGCCCTCGGTTCTCGCGGTCGAGGGCTACCTGCAATGCTAGCCAAGGCGGCAGATGCCATAAACCGCGAGAACTCAGGGCTTTTCGTTTGCTGGTCAGAGTATAGCTAGTCCGAGCTAGTCCAACGGCACACTGATCTCGGCACGTTGTGCTGCAGGTGTCCGGGGAGAGCGGCCCCGACGTGCCGCTGCCGCCGCCGCCGCCCAGCAAGAACTCGCACCGCCTGCACCCGCGCTCGCCGCCTATAGTGCACCGACGGCCGCCGGGCCGCCACCGCGACGCGCCCCGCAAGCACCAGGGCGGCCAGGGCGGCCAGGGCGGCCAGGGCGCGGACCAACGCCGCGGCCGCTCGGAGGGCCGCAAGGGCAGCGCGACGACGTCGCGGGCAGTGCCGCCGCGGGCCGACTGCGCCGTGTGCCGCCTGTACGGACAGCGCGTGCCCGCCGGGCGTGGCGGGCGTGGCGGGCGCAGCGGCCAAACCGGCCTAAAGTGAGCCCCCTTAGAGGACAACCCGCGTGCCTGCGTGCGCCAACGCGTCGGCGGAGTTAATTTTAGCGCCAATTTGCTGGCTGGGAGGAGTGGAAGGGGGGTGACGCATAGCAAGTGCGTGTGGCGGGGGCGGCCGGGGGCGGCCTTGCCTTGAGAGGCGCGGCGTTCCAGCGAACTCCGATCAAAGAAAGCGCAGTGTTATTGTCATCGCTGCATGCCCCGGAAACTGAGCAGCTGGGTGCAGTCGTACGTCCAGGATCTGCCTGCAGTCGCGATGTGATCGTCGCTGGTGGCGTGGGGCGTTCCAGACCAGATTCCCGGCACTTGTTGTTGCCCGGCGTTGCCATGACCGGCCGTGCCCGCCCTTCCCCCCGCCGTCCCCGGCATGGCACCCTCTGGCGGCGTGCTCGTCCTCGGCCGGCGTGCTCGTCCGCCCCCTTGACGACAAGCCCGGCAGGCCGGCGGGCGTGGGAGGCGCGGCGGTGCGTGCGGCCGGATAAAAGCCCGGACGCGCCCTCCAGCCGCCCCACTCGCCATGCCATCGCCCCGCGCCGTCGTGGTGGTCAGGCCCGTCAGGCCCGCGTCCGCGTCCAGCCCCGCGGCCAGCCCCGCGGCCATGGCGCTGCTGCTGCTGGCGGCGCTGGCGCTGCTGCAGGCCGCCGAGGCCCTGTCGCTGTGCAAGCCGCTGCCGCTGCCCGAGGACGGCTGCCCCTTCGGCCTGGTGCGCGACTACTGCGGCCGCGAGGTGTGCGCCAAGGGCCCCGGCGAGCGGTGCGGCGGGCCGTCCTTCGTGCACGGCCGCTGCGGCGAGGGCACGCACTGCAAGTGCGAGCGCTGCATCGGCTGCTCGCTCGTCACCCTCACCTGCGACCTGGCCAGCAGCATCTGCCTGTAGTGCACTGTAGTCGCCGGACGGGCCGGGCGGCGGGTGCGGCGGGCAGCGGCCGCAGGCGTGGCGGCTGCAGTCGCTGCCCACGCCGTCCGCCGCACCACCGCGTCGTCCGCCGCGTCCGCGCCTCCGACTCCTCATCAGTTTCCGGACGACTTCTCGACTCCCACAGTGTGAAGCCTATTGTGTGGTGAAATTTACTTACGTGTACTGCTCCAATATCTGCATGCTTTCGAGTGTGTGCATATTGAGTGTGGACAATTTTTTTGCTCACAGAATTGTTTGTCCCTCTAGATGCTTACGAGGTGCTCTAAACTATGTATCAGAATTGTAGCAAGTGTAAGACTGCGACAGGGAAAATGTGTTCGAGAATGTGCAAGTTTGTGTAGTTATTGCCACTGTACACAGAGGGATTCTGCTTGTTCATGCCTCCTCCCCCTGGCAATTATTTTAAACTGTGACTTTTTCGCAAAATGTTTGAAACTTATTGTATAAGTTTTTTTTCTAATTTCTTTGACAGCTCTGCCTTCGGTTCCCCTCCCTGGGGCGTGTTTGTAGTCCTGAACGGACGTTGCAAAGAGATGAATGTGAGTTTTGAACTTGGGCTGTGATCTTTCAGTTTTGGGAACAAATAAGAAGATAGTTCTTAAACTGCTTGTGATTCCGTGAAAAAAATGTTAATGGTTTTTGAAGCATCTTGTTTTCTGACCAGGATGACTGTGTAAGTCCATGACTGAGTGAGTCTATGACTGCGTGAAACAATGTCTTATTCAAATAAAGAAGTTAGCGGCGAGACAACTCATTTATTCTGGTGGTTACGCTATCACATAAATACACGCCTTCCTACGAATCAAAATACTTTTAATATATCTTACCGATTGGTGCGGAAACACAGTTAGCTTTAACTTTAAGAACTTATTTAAATGTTGTTGAGCATTTCAACGTACTCATAACCCTCAGTCGTGAAAACCTTCTGGACAGATGTTGATATCACTTCGAGCATTCTCCGGCACGCCATTTCCGGAGAGTTGTATTTCCATCCTGTTCACCACACGGAACACTTCCTGAACTTGGCCAGGCTCGCGGTGGGCGGGCACTTGAAGGCCTCGGCGAAGCCTTCCGAGTTCATCATCATCCCGTTCACCCTGGAAGAGAGCGCTCCGATGTGATTGCAATCAAAACTAAAAAAAATCTCATTCAACGAACGTTAATGAAAGCAGATGATACTCGTTTGGTTTTCTTGTACGGTGTAGTATGGGTTCATTCCAAAGATAGTATTTAAAAGCTGAGTCCTTTGTGCGCTGTAGCGGGGAGGGATTGTGAATGTTGCGCCCAGGCCGTCGCGCGCGAAGAGGGGGTGCCATTGTCGAATTCCGCGCAGGCTGCGGCTCGACCACAGACTCACCAGCCCGCCCCGGCAGCCAGCCAGCCCCTATTATATTGTTAGGATACAACTTGGTTTTTGGACTCTCGAGTAAAAGCTAGCTGACACCTTTATGTGTCTTTTAGTTGTAGTTTTAGGTATGTTTTTAAGTAAAGGTATCATCTGCTAAAAAAATGATAAACATTGAACAGCGTCTCGCTTTCCTCACCTTTCACGAAACGGGGTATGCTCGTCGATCTCAACCATGGTGACGTACCACTCGTCGGAAACTTCATAGCAGTAGTTCTGAAAGACACCAAGGGCAATCGTGAATAATGCGGTCCGAATTAGTTTTTCGATCCCCCTCAATGTCCGTCGTCCCACGCGAATCAAGACGAGCGTGACGGGCCGACGGGTGGCAGCAAGGGTCGTAGTATTCATGAGCCTGGCGGCAAAGGCTGCCGGGAACGTCTTTCAGACTCGTGAAGCTAATTCAAGCCCCGCTTATGGATTCACCCCCTCCGCTCCTCTCGTTACGCGGTCTTGAACGACCCCGCGAGCCCGGATCACTCTACCTGTGCGACCCCCACGAAGAAGAGCTGGTGGGGCGACAGGTCCACCTGCGGCAGGCGCATGTCCGGGTGCGACTTGACGACGTTCTTCCACGCGTCGTACGACACCTGCAGCGCGCCGATGTCGGCCAGGTTCTCGTTGCTCGTCACGTTCCAGTCGAACTGGAACCGGAAGCGGACAGGACTCAGAAGGGGGATGTTTCACTCGTGTAAATTTTGTCATCAGAATGTCAGAAACATGTCTGAAATCCTGATCAAAATTCGCGCACCTCTGAAAGCTGAAATTCTGAAAACTTACTCTGATATTGACGGTTTGAGTTCTACAGACTGTTAGGAGATGTTTTCAGATTTCAAAGGTGCTCGAATTTTGATCAGGTTTTCAGACAGGTTTCTGACATTCTGACAAGATTTACACCGGTGATTGTCTGACCTCTCTCCGGTCGGATTTTCGGCTCGGTGATATAAGTGCGAGTAAACGTCCTCGAGGCAGGCTAGAGTCACTTTAGTCGCCCTGCACTCGTGTAAATCTTTTCAGAATGTCAGAAACCTGTCTGAAAACCTGATCAAAATTCGCGCACCTCTGAAAGCTGAAAACACCTCCGGACTTTCTGTAGAACTCAAACCATCAATTTCAGAGTAATTTTTCAGAATTTCAGCGTCCAGAGGTGCGCGAATTTTGATCAGGATTTCAGACGTGTTTCTGACATACTGACAAAATTTACACGAGTGTGTCTCTCTCGCGCACACGAGGCGTAGGCGCTGACTCGCTCTACTCACGTCGACGCTGTGCGAGCGGCCGAACAGGCGCACCGAGTGCGAGAAGGTGGCGGCGTATTGGTTGACGAGGCACTGGATGCGCGCCGTGAGGCGCACGCGCGTGTCTGACGTCATCCAGCCCGAGACCTCGCCGCGCTCGTCGAAGTGCCAGCCGTTGATGTCGAAGCTGTGCATCAGCTCGTGCGCCAGCGTGTTGCCCAGCTGGGAGAGCCACAGGTAGCGCGGCGATACCCCGTACGCGAACAGGTCGGACACCATGGCCAGCGGCACCACTGCAACAACAGAGAGGCGGCCGGAGGCGGCGCGTGGAGCATCGACGAACCTCCGCGGCGGACATACCCCGCGCTGCTGCCGCGCTGGGGCGGTCTGCCTGGGGCTTGGCGGCTTGGCGGCAAAGTGAGGCTCCAGGGGGCCGCCTAGGGGCAGGGCAGGGGTGCAATTAAGTAATTGGTGCTTACCGACGGCGTTTGATGTGGGATCGTAGTACGCGTTGGCCACGAACGGGTACGCCCACCTGGAACAAGGAGACAGATGAATAGGCCTGACAGGGAATGCCATACTGAGAAAACCTTACAAACTATTTTGGGCCTTACAAAGAAAAGTAGTTTGTATAACAAAGTATTTTGAGCATACGTAAGCTTACAAAGAAAATACTTTGTAATCCACGAACTATTTCTTCGTACAACAAAGTATTTTAGTATGTTATATGTATGCTCAAAATACTTCGTAAGGTTTTAAGAGTGCAGAGAGAGAGAGAGAGAGAGAGAGAGAGAGAGAGAGAGAGAGAGAGAGAGAGAGAGAGAGACTCACGAGACGGGCGGCGGCGGGCCGCTGATGCGGGGCATCTCCTTGCGCGCGTCGCGGAACCGGCGGATGACGTTTCCGAAGAAGTCCTGGGGGTCGACCGTCATCTGGAACAAGCGTCGCGTGGGCTCAGCGGCGCCGCCCTGCGTGAGGCTAGGCGAGGCTTGGTGAAGCTGGCGAGGCCGGTTGGCAAGCAGTGCGAAGCAGTGTGCTGTACCTTGGCCAGCGTGGCGTCCACCCAGGTCTCGTTGAAGAACTTGGGCGGGGCCAGGAAGCGGCCCTCGATCTTGGACACCTTCTTGAGGGCCTTCTCCCGGGACTCCTCGTCCAGCCACGGCAGGTGCCCCAGACGCCGCACCGTCGTCTCCTTCAGCAGGTCCAGCAACTTGGAGAGCTGTCAAACGACCCATGAGGGGGGAACAACGTGTTAATGTTCCGAAGGGGCAGGGCTTCGCGTCCCAGCCCCTCTAACTCAACTCGCCACGCAATTTCGTGCCACTCTGCCCATCCTATCTGCAGCCAGAGTGGATCCCTTGTAAAAATGAAAGTACGGATTTGGTACGGATCCAGACCGGGAATGGTACGGGTGCAGTCAGGGCGCGTCTGACGAAGGCTGGGTTTGGTCCGGACAGTGCCCGACCAGGTGCGGCTATCGTCAGGGAGGTGCCCGACTTGGTCTGGCTGTCGTCGGGGTGTGCCCGACCCGGCCCGGCAGTTGTCAGGAGGTGCCCGACCTGGTCTGGCTGTCGTCGGGGTAGTCCCCGACCTAGTCCGGCAGTTGTCAGGAGGTCCCAGACCTAATCCGGCAGTAGTCAGGTCACCATACCTGGTCCGGCTGAAGTCAGGAAGTGCCCGACGAAGTCCGGAAATCGCCGTACTAAATTCGAACTTAGAATCGTCGCCGCGAGATGGCGCTGCACGCGCCGAGCCGCCGCCCGCTCGCGCTGGCGACCTAGGTTAGCGTTGTAACTAGTCTGTAAGCACGTTTTTCTGTGAATCAGCACTTGGTCTGCAAGTGTTCGCTTTCCTGTGAGAAACCACCGGTCCCTTGGCCCGAGCGCCCTCAACCCCGTTAACCCGGGTGGCGACCATGCCAACGGTCACGCGGTCACAGTATACCAAATTGTTCTGTCTTTTTAAACGGAAACAATGTTGTAAACATTGCAGATGAGTTTGAAAAATAAAAGTGTCTAGAAGCATTGGGTCCTCCGAGGCGCACGGTAATCTACACGCATTTACATAACCGTTGTCGAAAACGGCATACCTGTGCGTCTTTTCCTTCTGTAGATACAGACGTAGAGAGCGCGCGCGCGCGGTCCGCGGGGGCTTGAGCCAAGAGGCTCCGCGCACCGCTTCCTCCCCATGTGGCGGAGTGGCGCAGTGGTCTAAGGTGCTGGCATCGAGTCCGGAGGGCGGACGTTCCAATCCAGTCCGCGCATGTTTTTGTGCTTCAGAGCTCCGTGCGATTCCTGCACTTCGGCCTGACTTTTTGGACGATTTCCCGGACTGCGTCTGGAGCAGCTTGCCGGACTCCGAGTCCGGAAAAAGTGCGGCGTATGGTCGTTTTCCGCACCTTTTCCAGACACGAGTCGGGAGTCCGGCAGGTCCGGGAACAGTCTGGAATCGATCCGGATTGTCGGACTAAACCCAGTCTGGAGCCGGACTTTCATTTTTACAAGGGTGGCATCCGGGGCGGTGAGCGGCCCGGGGCTGTGGTGGAGCGTTCGCTGCATGCACTTACGTTGTCCCTGAGCGCGGCCAGCTCCTCCTTGGACCACAGCCGGGCGTACATGGCGCCCACGGCCTTGGGGAACACCTGCATGGTGACGCGCGTGCACTTGATGGCCCAGTCCGGCGTGTCCGTCACGTCCACCAGCTCCAGCAGCGAGTCCGTGGCGAAGATCATCAGCAGCCCGTTGTGCACCACGCTGCAACACCGTGCAACACGCAACAGGCTCATCTCCCTGCCGCGCACGCGACGCTGAGAGGGCCGTGGCCAGCGCCGCCGGCAGTCGGAAGCCGGAACAAGTCGCGAACAAGAAGCGGATCGAGTTTTCTGCTTTCTTTGTCAGCGAGGGCTGAGTTCGTTTCGTTACCCCTCCTGTTCCGCCACCAGTCGGATTACAAGGGGGCCTAGTGGAGGCTAAGTGGATTCGGCGCGCCTAGTTGGCATGGCCTAGTTGGCGTGGTAACTAGTTAGTAACGACGCGCCTCCTCACCTGGGCTGGAAGCGCGGCAGCAGGCGGCCCAGCTCGGCGAAGTACGACGGCGGCAGCACGTACACGGTCATGTCGTCCGGGATGTCGCTCACGTTGAACACCTCCTGGAAGATGGACGTCCAGTCCAGCTGCGGGGAACGACACCAAAGTCAGCCAGTCACACTCTGGACAAATACTGCCAATTTCTTACGAAATAAGAGGGCGCCAAGGTCTCGGACATTTAGATTGCACTTTGGCCAATGTTGTATTAAACTTTACTTCTGTTCTCTGCAGTCTCCTCAACACCATTGCGAGCCCCCCCCCCCTACCCATTTCTAAAAACAGAACGGCGCGCGCCGTCTCGGCCAATGATAATACACTTACGAAGTCGAACTTTTCCCGCATCTGCGCCAGGGTGAAGCTCATCTCGATGAAGGACGGCAGGTCCTTCATGGTGTACAGCAAGTTCTTCTCGCGCGGGATGGCCTGGAATCGAGGAAAGTTTAGGCGGGGCGGTGGGGGGCGGGGTGGGGTGGGGTCAAGCGGATTAGTCGAAAGCACGTCAGTTTGTCCGGCAGCCTGACGGCGCGGCAGCCGGGGCCGCGGCCGGCCGGGTGTGCCGGAGACAGCGGCCCCCACCTTGGCCAGGGAAGACACGAAGAGGAGGACGGACTGGGCCATCTCGCGGCGCTCCTTCCGCGACAGGTTGGCGGGCAGGAAGTTGCTCAGCAGGCGGTCCACGCGGTACAGGCGTTTTTCATGAAGTCGCTCCTGCCGGACCAGAGAGAAAGAGCGTTAAACTCGCATTACCGGCCAATATGACGACACACACTTTTTTGTAATTCCGAGTCTCGCTCCCCTCTGGCAATTTTAAGGGCGCGCAGCATAACTCACTGTGGAGGCCCAGCGGGGTGCGCTCATGTTTAAGTTGAAAATTTATCGTGCAGCAGCAACGAGGTGCCGCGAACAACTTGTACTTAACGGTGGCGGCAACACTCTTGGAAACACGCCGCGGCCGCTTGGCCAGCGCGGCCGGCGCGTGGGCTGGGGGCCGCTAGAGATCGCGCCAGAGCGCCCATTCCGGGCTGCGGTGCGTGCGGGTGCGAGAGAGAAAGAGCAGCGCAGCACTGGCACTGTTTGCGGGATCAGTCAGAGAGCGCCCGCCAAGTCGAGGGTAGGCCGCGCCGCAGCACGCCGGGGCGCGGCGGGCCTGTCTACCCCGGACTTGGCGGGCGCTAGCGCGCCGGGGGCTCTGCAGAGACGAGGGCGAGACAGAGACCTTGACGTAGGCGAAGGCGAAGTCCTCGCTGCTGCTGCGGCTGGCGCTGCTGGTGCCGTTGGCGGCTTGGTTGATGCTCCGCACGCCGTCCCGCCGGTGACGGACCCGCCCGAGGTCCGCGAAGTAGTCGGGCTGCAACAGTCATTAGTGGCGCATTAGCCGAGGCTCGGGGCTCGGCAAAGCGGGGACCCGCAAGGACCCGCAAGGACCCGCCGCCGCGGCTTGGCTTTTAGCTGGCGTCGTTACTCTAATGAATCTCCTCGGCACAAATTGAAAGAAGGCGCTGCTCGCTTGGCCCTGAAGACCGTGGTGGCCGTGGTGGCACTGGCGGCCCTGGTGACCCTGGTGGCGCTGGTGACCCTGGAGGCGCTGGAGGCCATGGTGGCCCTGAAGGCCGTGGTGGCCGTGGTGGCCCTAGTGGCGCTGGAGGCCGTGGTGGCCGTGGTGGACTTGGTGGCCCTGAAGGCCGGTGGCCCTAACATTGGTCACCGCGGGCCCGCGGGGTGTGCATCTGCAGCGTGTATCGGCACTGTAATTCCCCGGCCCACCAGGCCCCACCAGGCCCCACGCAGCCAGCCCGCCGGCCCTGGCCCCGTTGTTGGAGGAAACACTGTCCCTTTGGAGGGTCGCACCATAAGTCCGAAACTGCCCGCACTAAATAACGATTCCGGTTTTGCTTCTTTATTTTTCTTTCTGAGGGATGGCCGCGCGGTAGAGTGGGGTGGTTTGGGGGAGAGGGAGGCATAAAGCCACCTGTGCCCGCATCATCCTGTAGCCACTTAAGCTTGTCCTAAATCCGGGGTGGGGCGGGGCGGTGGGGCGGTGGGGTGGCCGCCGTGCCAAACCAAACCAGCGCGGCGAGTTTCACCAACTTTGCGCTGCTGCTCCCTGAACAGCCTGAACCGCCCCCGCGTCCGGAACGCGATGCGGGGCGTCGTGGCGTGGCGTGGCGTGGCGTTGCGCGGCCTGTGTGGTGGCGTCGATGGCGATGTATCGCCTTTTCCCTCGCGGGCCGACGAGGCGGCCGAGGCGGCCGAGGCGAGACGCCACTCGTTACGTATTCACCAGCGCGGCCGGTCCAGCGGCGTCACACAGTAACGCAGCGGGGCGACGGACGAGGTGGCTTGTTTACTGACGGGGCGGTGAGGGGAGGGGTGCGAGGGGGCGTGGGGAAAAGGCTGCCCGGGAAGCGGCGAGATTGAGGTTGAAGATGGAGGGCCGGATTGGACGGGCTGGGGCGCGACGGGGTGGCGGTATGGAGTAGGCTTTACTCGCCCCCGTCCACTTTGGCCTCAGCTGACCGCCCCGCCCCGCCCCGCCCCGTCTCGCCCCGCCCTGCTATCGCTGTGGGCATAACTCAAGCGCCTGGACACGTCAGTCCCCCCCGCGGCCCGCGCTGCACCCAGCCTGCCCGGCGCGCCTGCCCACACGCCTGCAGCACTCGACGAGCTAGTGTCTCCGCATACAACGGGCCGGTGCCCGGCGGTGCCAGCGCCGTGTGTGCAGAGCAGTGCAGAGCACCCCTTCCCCTGAGCCTCTTTCACGCGCTGCGCAGTGCAGTCACAGTGTGGTCCAAGCTACTTCAAGTCAAGTGGCGACCGAGCGAGAAGTTGTGAAGGTAGATTTCCAGGGTAGATATGAGACCATAAACAAGCAGCTCTAACCTTGGAGCTGCTGAGCCGCCGAGCCGTGGCCGGGCCCGAAAACAGCCCTGGGCTTCTGTGCAGGGGCCCGGCTGCGCGCACTGGCGGTGTTTCGCACGGGAACGGGGTGAATTCGGAAAAGGCTCCTTGTAGCGGAAGTCATTTGTGCGCGTCTGTGGAGAGGCCAGTATCACAGCTATGTCAGTTGCGACTCCCCGCACTCTCAAGAATGCAATTTGTTATTGTTTTCAAAAAGTTGTCATAATAATAACATAATATTTTGGAGCATTTTTTGACGCAGAATTTTCCCAGGGAAAAGTTTATTATTGGGGCACTGATTCATTTCTGTCCTTTCCCCCGAATCCCTGCCATTGAATGTTCCGGTACAACATGGAGCCAGGTCCCGAAAAACAGCGGCAGCAGGTTGAGTCCACCGACACCAAAATATACAAACAAAACCCTGGATGCTGAAGTTTTTCTTTTCAAGAGAATTGTAGAGAAGACTGACAGAACATAGATATAACCAAACTCGAGAGAAAAGTCGTACTTTATTTCAGAATGATGAGTGTAGGCACATCGGACGGCGCTACGCTAACGAGGGCGGTGGGGTGGGCAGCGCTTTTTAAAAACGGTCGACGCGTATAGGAAACCGAAGCGGAGCCGTTGGTTTAATAAACGCTTTCCTGTTGGCAAGCCGACGTGCTCGAAGGCCCAGTCACTGCTGTAGAGACTGCCCGGCCCCGGCCCGCCCCGGCCTGCCCCCGGACGGGTGAGGGAGGGCGGCAGGTGCAGGTAGGTGCGCACCACGCCGCGTAGGATGCAGCTGCGGAGATGGGGAGCGGCAGCGCAGTGCGCAAAATGGCTTCCGGGAATCACCTCTAGATTGGCTTCATCACGAGGACCGGCAGCACATCAGGAAGCAAGGGGGAGAGGTGGACCCCCCCCCTCCCCTCCCCCCACATACATACACAAACACACAGCCACACTCCCACGCGCGCGCACGCACACACACACACACACACAACCACACAGACACGGATAGACGGGCACACATACAAACACAGTGGGACAAACGGATATACGGACGGACGGGCAGAGCAAAAAGACGTTCCGCGGCATTACAGGCTGCAGCGGGGCAGGGGGAGGGGGAGGGGGAGAGGGAGAGAGGTGCACGGCCGGATCCGAGCCAGCCCGAGCAAGCCTCTTCCGCCAGCAGGATGCAGGCCGGCCGCAGCCAGAAGCTCGGCAAGCTCGGCAAGGCCTCGTCGGGAAGCTGGTTGGCCAATGCGGGCTGGCGGACTTCAGCCAAAGGCACGGCACGGCACGGCACGGCGGGCAGGACACGCACGGCAGGCCGGGCGGCCGGGCCACCACAAGGAATCTGAGGAGACGAAAACCAGTAGGGCTATTCCGCCACTCGACTTCCAGTGGCACACCGGAGGTTGCACTCTCAGCAAGTTACTGACTTTTTTGCTCATTTTGTCAGTACCTATGCAAGTCATTTGTGCAACCATAAAACGTACTTTTTCTTTTTTAAAGTACTTACGAAACATTAAATGAGGTACTGACACTGTGTGCGTCACTGTGTGTGTCACTGTGTGTGTCACTGTGTGTCACTGTGTGCGTCACTGTGTGTGTCACTGTGCGTGTCACCGTGCGTGTCACTGTGTGTGTCACTGTGTGTGTCACTGTGCGTGTCACTGTGCGTGTCACGTGTCACTGTGCGTGTCACTGTGTGTGTCACTGTGTGTTTCACTGTGCGTGTCACTGTGCGTGTCACTGTGCGTGTCACTGTGTGGTGTCACTGTGTGTGTCACTGTGTGTGTCACTGTGTGTGTCACTGTGCGTGTCACTGTGTGTGTCACTGTGTGTGTCACTGTGCGTGTCACTGTGTGTGTCACTGTGTGTGTCACTGTGTGTGTCACTGTGTGTGTCACTGTGTGTGTCACTGTGCGTGTCACTGTGCGTGTCACTGTGTGTGTCACTGTGCCAGCGAACCGGGTCGATGTCACGGACTGAGTTGACCGACCGCCGCCCCCGCCTTGGATCACGCAGACGCACCGCGAGGCTTCATTTGGCCTCATCGGTATGCGCGGCCCGGGAAGGGGCGGGTGGGGCGGCGCGGCGTGGGGTGCGGCGGGGCGGGGCGCATCTCAGTCAGTCTTCACCTGCTCCCCACGTCTTGGGTCGCGGTGCTTTTGTCCCGTTCGTGCTCGCGCAAAAGGAGCACGCAAACCTACGAGGGTCGAGTTTTGTGTCTCAGCTGCAATCATTCTAATATTTTATATTCATATTTTTATGCCGAGGTTCGTCCTCCTTTTGCGTTTTTACTTAATTGCTTCACCCCCGGTTTCTTTGATTTGTTGAAAAGACCAGGAGGCAGGGGGCTGCCCCAGCCTCCTCCACCGGAAGGTGCGAGTGAGACAGTCTGACCAACGCGCGGTCAGGCGAGAAAGGTGCAGAAAAAAAGAGAAGTCAGCAAAAAGGAGGAATTGACTGAATTGTATGAAGAAACCCATCATCCAATTGAGCCTGGGGCTTGAGCTCTCATCCTGGAGGAGCCATTCCCGTTACATGCAACTAAGTTTGCTCGCGTAGCTATGTGGATAAACACATATTTCCACAGCAACTCGAGACGATTTGGTTCCACATTTTTTTACGTGAGTGTATAAACTTTAGCATGGACTGAACAACAACAAAAATGGCAGGAAGACGTTTTACTCATCCCGCGGTGGCGGTGCGTCTAACTCACTGGTCCCCACGAGCTGATCCTTGGCGCACTGCGGGTGGGCTCACCGCTGGCCGTGCCCGGCCGTGCCGCGCTAAGCCTCCACCTGGCTTTCGGCCTCGTGCTCCTGTCGCCAATTAATGCGACCAAGCCGCTTAGCCGGCAAACAGACGCTGCTGTGTCGTTTGGCTCCGCCCCTCCCTTGAGAAGACAAACAGACCACCCCTCCCGCAGGCCCCTTCCACCATAGCGGCCCACACACACTCTACTCTCTCTCTCTCTCTCTCTCTCTCTCTCTCTCTCCCTCTCTCTCCCTCTCTCTCTCTCTCTCTCTCTCTCTCTCTCTCTCACTCTCTCTCACTCTCTGCTCCATCTCTCTCTTTCTCTCACACCACACGCGCACCAGCGAGCAGCTTACATTCGCACTGCCCCGCGGCACACGTGCGTCGCTCGGCTCCTTGTGTTCCACGTCCGAAACCCTTCGAGACCCTCTCTGCCCCCCCCCCCCCAGTCATCTCCGTCGTCCCCGTCATCCCCATCGTCCCCGTCGCCTCCATCGTCCCCGTCGTCCCCGTCATGCCCACCCTCCTCGTCTTCCTGGTGGCCTTACCCGTGGCGGCGGCAGCAGCGTCCGCAGGCGGGGCATGCCGGGCGAGGCGGGCATGAGCGCGTCCATGCTCTCGCTGTAGAAGTTGGGGTGCGTGGGCATCCAGGGCAGCTTGGGCGTGTCCAGGTAGATGGCGAAGCGCGACTTGTTCTGCAGGTCCTGGTCGGCGGACAGGCGGAACAGGGGCCCGCCGTTGAGGGTGGCGATGCTGGCCAGCAGCTTGTTGATGTCCGGCGTGGCGTTCATGGGCTGGAAGCCGCCCAGCTCGTCCAGCAGATTGAGCACTGCAAAAGCAATCGTCTTGTTAGGCGGCCTGGAAAATCGGTACGGCGCGGCCGTGTGGCGTGGTCGCGTGGCCGGCTGGGCTAATCCTATATAAAATCTCCCGGTCACGTGGGAGGAGGGGAGAGGGGGGAACTGTGAGCAGGGTGGAACAGACACTACTCTAATTTGATGAAAACCAATACACCGTGAGCCCGGCGGCACGCGCGTCGAGTTTAAATTACTCCCGACGCAGGTTGGGAAGTTGAACAGGAAAAATGGGAAATTCATTCAATGCGAGGTCGCTGAAGCGTGTTGTGGTTGGTTAGTCTGGACGCCGCGAATAAAGTTTGGACACGAGAGGAGCTGTACACGCGCTAGCCCCCCCCCCCCTCTCTCTCTCTCTCTCTCACACACACACACACACACGCTCAAAGCGCGCTGCTCGCCATCGACTGCATTATCACGGGCTGCATCGCGGGGTCGCGGGATGTGGCCGTGGCCGAGGCCGTGGCGTTGACTGTGACGGAGGAAATTGGAGAAATGCGGCGCGGGTGGGCGGCACGCAAGCGGGCCGGGCCGTGTGTAACGTGTCCCTGTGACCCACTTCCAGCCCACTGCCAGCCCACTTGAGGGCTCGCGTGGGGCCCGCCGCGCTGCCACCCGCTGGGATGAATGGGTGAGAAAAACAGGCCAAGGGGTCCGACTCGACGAGTGCGTCGGCGTCGTCAGCGTCACCGACGCCCGGTTTTTTGCGCGCGGCTGGGCGGCAGCGTGGCGGGGCTGAGTGCCAGTGTACCAGCGTGTCAGTGTGCCAGTGTACCAGCGTGTCAGTGTGCCAGTGTACCAGCATGTCAGTGTGCCAGCGTGCCAGTGTACCAGCGTGTCAGTGTGCCAGCGTGCCAGTGTGCCAGTGTGCCAGCGTGCCAGTGTACCAGCGTGTCAGTGTGCCAGCGTGCCAGTGTACCAGTGTGCCAGCGAGCCAGTGTACCAGCGTGCCAGCGTGCCAGTGTACCAGCGTGCCAGCGTGCCAGTGTACCAGTGTGCCAGCGAGCCAGTGTACCAGCGTGCCAGCGTGCCAGTGTACCAGCGTGCCAGCGTGCCAGTGTACCAGTGTGCCAGCGAGCCAGTGTACCAGCGTGTCAGTGTGCCAGCGTGCCAGTGTACCAGCGTGTCAGTGTGCCAGCGTGCCAGCGTGCCAGTGTACCAGCGTGCCAGCGTGCCAGTGTACCAGCGTGCCAGCGTGCCAGCGTGCCGAGCAGCGTGCCCAAAGCCCCAACAAAGCCCCCGCCGTGCCCGCAAGCCGCGCGTTGGCACCGCAAAGCAAACGCCTCGCCGCCCAAAGCAAACGGATAGCCGGAGAAGCCAGCCACGCCAGCCGGCACTCTGTGGCACTCCGTGGCAACGCCTGCCCGCAATCAGTCGCCACACAAAACAATCTTCGACATTTTTATTTGGTGGACAGAGACGCTTTTGCGGTTGCAGTTTTCGGTAACCTAACCTAATCCAACCAAACCTAATTTAATTTAACTTAACTTAACTTACCTTAACCTAACTTAGCCTAACCTAACTTAGCCTAACCTAACCTAACCTAAGGTCCTTCCACCCTGTAGATTATGTTTTGGCCCGTCAGTCGCTCGTTGCCAGGACCGAGAGCCCCAAACGGCACCCGTTTGCAGGACCAAACGGAAATATGGCCGAATTTTGCCTACCGCGTCCTGGAAACGGGTGCAACCCCAAGGACTTGTTGCGGACTTGTGACGTCTCTCAGCCCAGCTGTTAGTCGGCTAAGCGAGGCTGAGAGTTTTACTTTGCCCCTCCCTGAGGCGGGTCTGGATCCGCCCCCGGCCCTGGCCCTGGCGGTGTGGGGCGGTGTGGGAGCGGCCCGGCCGGACACGGACACTGGCAGTCCTCGTCCTGTCCCGCCGAAACGGCCGAAACGGCCGAAACTCGGTGACGAGTCCGTGACCCCTGCCGAGCGATTCCGCACGCACCGTCGTCGCTCTCTGTCGAGCCGACGGGGCGCCGCCTCACAGTGGGGCTGCGAGGGAGACAGAACGACGACGCGCCGTTTGGAATCAGTCTGCCGCCGCGTCGCTTCGCGTGCCGTCCTGCATAATCCGATCAATGTTCCGGCCGGGCTGCGCCTAGCTGCGCCGGGCTGCGCGGCCTTCCGCCGACTGGCCGGACGCCGCGCCGCCGAGCCTCAGCCATCGCGTGGGCCAGCGCGCTGTCCAGCCCTGCCGCGACGGACCCGGTCGGCCTGGACCTCACTAACTCCATACCCTTGAAATGCGGAGGCGTGATATTATTTATTTTCAGTTTCCTCACTTGGAAGTGCAGGGTTTGCAGCGTTTGCTCCACCGTTAATGCAGTGTGCCTCGCGACCGTTGTTCTCCGGACCCATCAATCAAATTCAGCCGAGCGGCCGGCCCCCACGCCACGGCTTAATGACGTTAGAACGGATTAACGGGGCGAGTGCAGCAAAACAGCCCCGAGCCCCTTTCTGGCTCTCGCATCTCTCTTTCCCGCTGACAGTGAGGGATTCCTCCTCGTTTGCCGAGCCACGTTTTAATCACGTGTCGAAGAGTTCGTGCCGGAGTCAGCCGCACCCGGCCGCCCGCCACTCCCCTTTATGAAGTTGCCGTGCCTAGTCGGAGTGCACTGATAATCCAAGTGTGGGACAGGCATGCACTAGATAACGTGGGACAAACTGTCCCACGCTTGTAAGCGTGGGACAAAATGTCCCACGTTTGCAAGCGTGGGACAAACCGTGTTACACGCTTACAAGCGTGGGACAAACCGTGTCCCACACTTACAAGCGTGGGACAAATCCGTGTCCCACACTTACAAGCGTGGGACAAACGGTGTCCCACGTTTGTAAGCGTGGGACAAATCCGTGTCCCACACTTGCAAGCGTGGGACAAACCGTGTCCCACGCTTGCAAGCGTGGGACATTTTGTCCCACGCTTACAAGCGTGGGACATTTTGTCCCACGTTATCTAGTGCATGCCTGTCCCACACTTGGATTTTCAGTGTGAGGTGGGGCGGGCTGGGGCGGAGCAGGGCGGGGCGGGGCGGGGTGGGGTGGGGTGGGGCGGGGTGGGGCGGGGTGGGTGCGTATTATGCCTGTCTAATTGCAGCCCCAGCCTGCGACAAGGTGGAGGGGCAATTAGAAAGGAGGGCCGCCTGTGTGCATGCCTCGCCCCGTCCCGCCCCGCCTCGCCCCG